GTCAGAAATATGATCTTTGCAATTGTTAAAAGAAACTGTAAAAGGAGCTCATACGTTGGTGAGAGCCTATACTGTTGTGCTGTGAGTTTTAAAGGGTTTGCAGGCAATAATTCAACCTCCGAACCGCAAGCGGGTATGAATCTGGGTGGGCCATGTTGTATGTAGTGGCATCTCTTGGGCGTCATTTGTGTCTTTGCTGTAGTTGTCCTTGCGTCTGCAAAAGGCAACCAGACCTAGCAACGCAGAGATTTCTCTTTCCAGGCTTTATAGTTTTAAGGCAGTTAATATTGTTTTGTCATGATTACATTAAATTCATCTATCAAATTAATTGGATCCATACCTTTGCATTTCAGATATTTATGATGCAACAACTGTTGTGATTCAAAACCAGATGCAGTTTGGACTCTGAAAGATTGTTATTATGAAAATCTGTCCTATGTCAGGGTTGTGTACATTTATGATAAATCCCAAAGTAAAGTAAAGACCAAAAAATTCCCTCAGCATATGACGCACAGTTTATAGGCGCCAGCGGAAGATGTTTAAAAAAGAAACCAAAGTTATTGCGAGGTTTTCCGATGCTACTATTATGCATTATGTGATCTCATCCACCCTGCGTGTTGGGTATTCAGATGGTAAATCAACCACAAAGGAAACATGTAAAGTTGTTAGCAACCAGACCAGGACTGAGGATTGAGCGCATTCCAGGGAGAAACAGTTGCAGATATTGAAGTCACATCAGTGGTTTAAGAAGACAAAGAACCTTCATGCAATAACTCTGCAGGCCACATGCAGCTGTGCAAAGGTTGTTGTGGGTTTGGTAAAGCTATATATGGCAGAGCTAGAACTCATCCGAACACAGCTTCCATCATGTTTGCATCTGTGGCTCTACTCTTGGTGGCTGTTCTGCTCTTCCTGCTCCTCTTTCACTCCCCCAGGGCCAAGAATTTTCCTCCAGGCCCCCGACCCATCCCCATCTCGGGAAACTTGCTACACCAATTACATTACATACATACACTTTTGGGTTCCTTGATGATTTCGATGAAAACTTATCATAAGACACACTTCATTGAAACTCAACTGTCTTTGTTAGTCTTTACACTGTTCCAACAATCACCAACTCTGGTTTGGTCCAAATAAACTCTTAATTCACTGGGTTAGATGTGAAAATATTCTGGCTCTATGTGCTGTTTTTCCCTGCTGTCTCTCTCTGCAGTTGCTGGTCTCACTTGTTCTTTAGAGGCCCCTCCACAACAACCCATGATGAACTCAGTCAACCACTGATATCAATCTCCCAACGCTATTAGTAACATATTATGTCACTTTGTTACTGCTGAAAGTAATATATTACTGTAACAAAAGTGAACTATTGTCACAAAAGTACCGTGTAACCCCTGACACTAATAATAACTAGTTACTAATTGACGCATTGCCCTGAATATAGGTCACTGACATAATAATCTTCTGTGTCTCTGTCCCCAGCTGACCAAATGCTATGGTAACATCTACAGCCTTTTCATTGATTACTGACCACTTACTTGGACTATGCAGAGGGAATTCTGACTTTCACTGTACACCATACAGCATTCCACTGTGATCAATCTCAGCATATTTATTCATATTCATATTTATCCCTGTCAGCCTGTGCTATTGTGCATTAGTGTCACTGGTGAGTTGTAGCTCTGACGTCACAGAGGACCATACATAGTCATTTATTATGCTCACTGTGTAGCACAAAGATCTGGGCCCATACACCCCTCCCTTTTAATACATGTCATGCCTGCACATATAACTGGATCAACAGGTAAACACATGCATCTGTAGTCAAAGCCAATTAAGTATGTATGATTTAAAAAATACATAATACAGGCTTTCTCTAAACAGAAAATAATCTGCTCAAAGTGTATCCAAATAATTCGCTTTAAACAAACTTCCTGCTGTTACTGAGTACACTATTTGGGTTGATTGTACAGTTTTTAATATAATGAAAGAAATATCCATAAAACATGTCACTTAGTCAGGGGTCATCAGTTTACTAAACCAGTTGGGAACCAGTGCCGAGTTGACTTGGAAATGGCGCTGGATGTCTATAAAGCAGCCAAAATTCTAAATGGTGGAAAATTTCTCAGGTGAAAATGTGGTTGGCTTTTCTGAATAATTTTACAATAATTTAACAATAATTTGTGTAATAGCGCCACCATCGGGCCATTTTTCCAGTCTGAGTAGTGGGTGAGATTTCCAACCTACCCAGCAGCTTCACTGCTTGGACCCCTAAAAATTAGGCTGATAATATAAAACACATATGAATAAGTACGTTGTGCAGATTCTATAATGTCAGTCTGTCTTCCTCCTGTCATCATACTATGAAAATCTGAAAGTGGAGGTGAAAGACGTGTTGTTAAATGGCCTATAATGAATGCTCTGTAAACTGAAAAGACAAGGACTGATAAGATGTCTTATAAGATGCCGTATGTAACATCTGATAGCGTTGAAGCCAATATTTAGTTCATGAGATATTACCTGTGATAAAGTGATACACTGTTGCTACTGGGCCCACCCTTCCTGTTCAAAAGTAGCTGGCACTCACATAAAAAAACCTGACAGGATATTAGAAGAGGAAGTTTAGTTGCAGCTCGGTTTTAGGAAATTGGGTTACAGTTTGTTTACCTTCGGAGGTTTGATTAAAGCGAGTGTCTCATGCGTTCCTCCTGTGAAAATGACAGTGGCCAGAATATCACTCATTGAGAGTGAGTGCTAACTGTGTGGAGAGGTATTGTGGCTTTACACAATACATGCAGATGAATACGGTATAGTGAGATTGTGAAGTGGATGTTTCAAAGAATGAAAGATCCTCTTCTCTTTCTGCCTGTCTCATTAAAACATCCCCATCCCACAAGAACATAAA